TCGGTATGCTTCTTGTACTTTCATGTGCATGTCCTTCTTCAGATTGGGAAAGTTTTCCTCGATGATTTTGTTGAATATGTTTTTGGCACCTTTGAGCTGGGCTTCCTCACCTTCCTCAATGCCTATTATTCTTAGGTTTGGCCTTTTCATGGTGTCCCACATTTCCTGGATGTTTTGTGTTAATAATTTGTTGGATTTACGATTTTCTTTGGTCGATGAATCTATTTCCTCTAGTTTATCTTCTGTGCCTGAGATTCTCTCTTCCATCTCCTGAATTCTGTTGGTTATGATTGTGTCTGTAGTTCCTGATCTTTTGCCAAGTTTTTCTATTTCCAGCATTCCTTCGGTTTGTGTTGCCTTTATTTTCTCTATTCCAGTTTTCAAGTCTTGAACCATTTCCTTCACTTGCTTAATTGTTTTTTCTTGGTTTTCTGTACTTTCTTTACTTTCCTTAAGAAATTTGTTAATTTCTTCCACTTTTTTGTTTGTTTTTTCTTCCATTTCTTTAAGGGATTTTCTCACATCTTCTTTGAGGGCCTCTATCATTTTTATGACAATAATTTTTAAGTCATTCCCTTCTGCTTCATCTGCTTTGTTGTTGTGTTCCCTTCTAGTTGGTGTAGATTTCCTAGATTCTGTTGGTGTCACGGTTGTCTTTCTGTTGTTAGCTGTTTTCTTGTATTTCTGTCTTCCCATAGCTTCTTCCATTAGGTGTTGGTGGGTCTCTCCCTCTCTCTATGGTACTTCCTCAGTGGGTGTGTGTGGGTCAGATGTTCGATGTCTGTAGGTCTGGGTGGTCCAAGCCCTCTAGGAGGTCTCTCCACAGGCAGGGGCCCAGCGATGTGGGTCAGCGAACAGGCTCCAGCAGAAGACTGGAAATGGGGTTCAAAGATCCCGAAGGCTGGGACTCAGAATGTTCCTTGTGCCTATAGGCAGATCTAGCCTGGGCCTGGTACTCTCCAGCTGAGGCCTCTTTAGCAGAGGCCCTGCTATGGGGGTCAAGGATCCTGTTGGCAGTAACTCAGAGTGGTCCCGCAGAGACAGGCGGATCTCTGGGAGGGGCCTGGGACTCCAGTAGAGGACCAGCGGTGGGGGTCAGAGACCCGGCAGGTGTTAATTACGGGTGGTCCCACGTGGATAGGCAGGTGTCCTGTGTTCAGAGCAGCTCCCAGAATTTCCCCTGAACTCCATGTTCTTTCATTTGAAGATAGGCCAGATCAGTTGTCAGTTCTTATTCTCTACTCTGGCCCTTAAAATACATAAAATAAAATTCAGAGTCTGTCAAGCCATTCTAAGGCCCTTGGCCTGATATTCTTATCCTCCAGGTCAGTTTTATTTTGCTGTGGATACTGGAGATTGAACTCAGGGCCTTTCATATGCTGAACACATGCTCTACCTCTGACTTACTCTACCAGTTACTGTCAGGTCTTGATATGTCCCCCCAAATGCACCTTTCAGCACTCACTTCTTGATGATTTTAATGTGTGGGGATCCCTAAATCCTATGCTAAGAAATACTGCCCAGAGTCAAGAGTATGTACAGTTTTTTTTATCCCACTGGTGGGTTAAAAGAAATACATAAATCCAAATGGAAAATGCATACTCCATTTCCACACGACATACTGTGAACCTTAAAGAGCCTCTGGGAGCTAGTTTGAATGGTATGTCTGAGTGTTCCATAGTCAGGTGGTTTTTTCTTGGTGGTGTTTTAGTTTAGATTGGAGGATAGATGTAGATCAGTGCTTAGTTCAATGAGAGTTGAACTAGTACAAGAAGACTAATGGTTGAGTTAAATTTGATAGCTTGTTGGCTTTGACTATGATTTGGAATGAGTTAACACCCTCCTCTACACATCCAGTATGGGAATTGACAGGTTTTTTTCTTAGCCTAATCTTTTTATTATACTACAGAATTAGTGTTAGTAGAGAAAAACAAAACAAAGCATAAGATGCTATTATGTCGTGTTCATTCTGCAAGGTTTGGGAGGTTAATTGAATGAAAATTGGTCTGTATTGTTTACCATTTTGGCATCCCAAGTTGTCTTTTATACAAAGAAAGTTCCATGGTATCCTTTTACAGTTTCCTTACACACACACACACACACACACACACACTGACACACACACACACACACACACACACACATATTTTAAACTGGAAATAGTGATGTCTTAGACAGAATGACTAAAATGACACAGGAAACAGAGGAGCTTGCTTGGCCAATATTCAGTCTGGCACATATGGTGGAAGCTTTTAACACAATTGATTCTTCAGTGAAAATCATTGCTAAACAACAACTATACACTCAGACACATGGTATAAAATATCAAAGTGAGGGGTGGGTATGTTGTTCAGTTAGTGCGTCTGGTCTTGTAATCACAAGGACTTGAGTTTGACATCAGAATTCATTTTTTTTTTTTGAAAAGTGTGGTGGCATTCATTTCTAATCTTAGCCCTGGAGAGGTGGAAACAGTTGGATCCCTGAGGCATGCCATGTACCTCTACTATCCTACTTTATGGCTTTCATGCCAGTGAGAGACCCTTTCTCAAAAGGAAAAGGCAGCTAGCACCTGAGGAGCAACATCTGAACTTGTCCTTTGACCTTTATGTTCATGCTCATGCACACAGATGTACTGGATAGATAGATAGCTATATAGATGATAGACAGACAAATAGAATTATCAAAAACCCTTCTTTATAGGGTTCAAATGTAATGGGGAATATGGATAAGGAAAGATTAGGAAAGAAAACATGCATAAGACAGTGATAAAAGTGTGAGGGGGAAAATGGTACAGGAAAGGGGGTTGTAAAATGTCAGAGCTGGAGCTGGAGAGATAGCCCAGTGGGTAAAGTGCTTGCTGTGTAAGCATGAGAGCCTGCACTCAGAACCTATGGAAAAAACAGGTGTTATAGCACATACATCTGTAACCACAGTGCCAGGGGGGAAGGGGGCAAAGCCAGATGGATCCCAGGGACCCACCAGTCAGTCTAGACAAAATGTCAAGTTCTAAGTTTGTTGAGAGATATTGTTTCAAGAAATAAGGTGGCTTTTTCAAACAAACAAACAAACAAACAAAACAACAAAAACAAAAAAACCCAAACCAAAACAAAACAAATCTCACTGAGGGCCCGCCAACCAGTTTCTAAATAAATACACGGAGACTTATTCTTACTTATGAATTCCTGGCTTTGACTTGTTTCTAGTCAGCTTTTCTAACTTAAATTATTATGTTTCTTTTCTTCTATGTCTTGCCTTTGTGCTTTTTACCTTTCCTTCTTACTCCATGGCTGGTTATGTGGCTGGACGGGTAGACCCTGACATCTTCCTCTCCTTTCTTCCTCATTCCTAGCTCTTCTCTTGAGCCTAGATTTATCCTCCTATTTATTTTATTCTCTCTGCCTGGCAGCATGCCTATTCCTCTCCTGCCTAGCTATTGGCCACACAGTTTTATTAGACTGATTAAATGTTTTAGACAGGCAAAGTAATACAGCATCACAGAGTTAAACAACTGCAATATAAAAGGATGCAACACGTCTTTGTATCATTAAATAACTGTTCCACAGCATAAACAAATGTAACACATATTAAACTAGTATTCCACAACAGTGGAAAGTGATAGAGGAAGACATTTGATGTGTTGACATCTGGTCTTTATGGGTGCACAAGTGGGCAAGGCCACCTGTACAAATGTGCACAATATGCATGTGCGCATACACACACACACTCACACACACACATGTGCGCGTGCATCAGTGATAAAATATTTAAGTAGGTTGGCCTTGGAAGGCTTCCGTGAGAAGACAAATTTGGAGCAGAGACCTTATATAAGTGAGGGCCATCTACATGGATATGGTAGATGACACGCACATCAGTACAAAGGCCTCTGGAGAGCATGCTTGGACTGTTTGAAGAACAGCAAATCAGCGGTTTGTCTGGATCGAGGACAGATCATAAGTGATAATAAATTAATGGATGATAGTTGAAAAAAGAAGTTAAGAAAATCAGGGCAGTGGTGGCACACTCCTTTAATCCCAGTACCCAGGAGACAGAGGCAATCTGATCTCCATGAGTTCGAGGCCAGCTTGGTCCACAGAGTGAGTGCCAGAACATACAGAAATGTGGGGACATAAGAACTCTGCCTCTCACCAAGTGGTCCCTGGCACCATGTAACACTACTTTGAAAAGGACTTAGTGGATAAACACAAAAGAAACATGACACCATGTGCTACTGATGTGCAGGAGCAAGACAACACATTCAGTGTGTACTTAGCAGGTACTTAGGAGTAGGTGAGCTCGGGTATGTCTCTTGGAGGTGTAGAAAATGTTATGTCCATAGTCCCCCCCCCAGGGGACTATTTCAAAGTTCCTACCAAGGAATGGAACCAGGTGCCTCAGAACCAAATTGATGGGAGAGGTGGAGCCAACAATAATGAAGACAAGGCTACAGTCTCTGTCTATGCTTCATTGGAGGTGGGGAAAGTCGGTTCACAGAATTTTCCCATCAGCTTTGGACCTATGAACAGTTAGTGTTCTCTCTATGAAAACACAGCTTGTAAACAGGCCTTCTTCCAACTGGATTTTCTCCCTTCACCTAACTCACCAATACAGCAGCCCCTGAGCCGCAGGGCATTTCATTCATAAAAGGATGCACCTCTATCCTTAGCCACATGTCTTCCTGTCACTAAGAAGGGAAGATGAGACATGAGAAAATACAAACATTCCACTTTATAGACTCCACTATGTGCTTGTGTTCTAATTGTGAGGGCACCAGGGTGCCCCGGTTGCTTCCTGGGCGAAAGAGCAAACCCAATTTCTTCCCATTTCTCGCTTTCTTTTACAAAGGAAACAAAGTGGCATTTAAACCGAAAGGGGAAAGAAAGAGGGCAGTCATCCATGGAAGGTTTCCTTAGGCATTCCTCAGCAAGGAAGAAGCATTTCCGGCTTCAAGGGCAGTGGAAACATCTACAAGGATTGACTCACATAGTTTTCCTCCTTTCCAGAGCACCTCAGAACTGTCCTCAGATTTTGATCTATCACAATCTTCTCAAAGCAGTATGCAGCAGCCCTTAGGGTTCAGCACCCCAGCCACCTCACAAGGCTGCTTGGATTCTTCAGCTGCTAAGCACAAGATGGCTTTAAACCCCCGGAAGCAGAAGAGAAAGAAGCCAATTTCCTCGTTTGTAAGTCTTTCCAGAGATCCTGCATTAAACTGTGAGAAAAGATGAACACTAGCCCGTGCCTTCTGCTGTTAGGAAACTATGTGTATAGATGGGTCCAACTTTTGGACATTGTGTCATGGCATTGTTATCTACAAAGTTCACACTTCAGAACCATGCAACTGAATAATAATAATAATAATAATAATAATAATAATAATAATAATAATAATAATGAAGATGCCCCAAATATCTCATACTTCAAGTTTGTGGTTTTGTGCTGGGCCACATTCATAGATATCCTTGGCCACATATGGCCATATGCTACCTGATAGGGATAGTAATGTATATTTGACACTGTCCTGGACTAGATGCTTGAAGTGGTGAGCAAGCTTGTGTTGGTTGCTTGAAGTGTTCTGTCTATTTGAAACTTCTATAAAAAAGGAATTGGGGAAGCAGAAACAGAATTAACCCTGTGTAACCCACTTGCTGGTGTGGTGCCTGGAAATCCCCTCATTCTTCTCTGCAGAGGCTATTCAAGCCTAGTCTGGATGAAGATCCATTTATTGACTGAGCATACGAGACCCATGAGTCATAAACTGCCAATGGTGCCCCCTTCTTTTGATGGAGACCAGGCTTTCTTGCAAAGACCTTCACACATTGCCACGGAGTTCTGCATGAATTACTAGCAAGCAGAACTATGTTTAGGCAATGCTAGTAAGTCAGAATCATGGCAATGGGGCCCTGGAGAGATTGCTCAATGGTTGATAACTCACATGGCTCTTATGAAGACCCAGGTTTGCTTCTCAGCACCCACGTCATGTGGCTCACAATTACCTGTAACCTCAGCTCCAGTAATCCAATGTCTTCTTCTGGACTTTTAGATACCTGAAGACACATGTGCACAGACTCATACAAAGACACACCACATACAAATAATTAAAGAAACAAAACTATTTAAAAATATTCTCTTAAAAATTACATGCACTCAAGGCTACTCCCTACTTCCTCTTCTATCAGATTCAGAGTATCTGGATTTAGGATGAGGTCTTTGATCCACTTGGACTTGACACATCCATAGACATGCCAAAGTGACTGGGAGAAAGCCCATGAAGCCTCAGGCCTACACAAAGAACTAAGGGCAACTAAGGAAAGCTAAGATCAGGAGAAATAGTCTTTCCCAGGGAAAAGCATTGATTTATCGATACCAAATGATCATCCCTGAAAACATACATATAAATAACGTTATGTAGACTGAACAGGTAGTATTTAGGAATATATATGCATGTATATGGGCACATAATAATAATGAAAACAGAGGCCATGGATGTGAAAGAAAACAAGGAGGAGTGTATGGAAGGGTCTGGAGGGAGGAGAAGAAACAGAGGAATGTAGTATTTATATTATAATCTCAAAAATAAAAAAATTATAAAAGACATCTCAATTTTGCTTTAAAACACAGATGAAATATGAGTTGTGAGCACAGCTCCAGAAGTAGGGAAAGTGAGGGTCCAAAACTTATGCATGTATTAGGCCCCTGGACATTTCACTACAGTCCAGGGAGTCAGGCTCTCCACTATGGGAGGACTTGGGGCAACCCTTCTGGCATTCAGCATTCTTCCTAGCTCCCTTGTGTAAGGTCTGAGGAGCGTGACAACAAGAATGAAGCCGTTTTCCTTTAAACTTTGTTTCAGGCCAAAGCAAAGCAGGAAGAGCAGCATGGTGCGATGGACACTAAAGAAAAGGCTACAACTAAGACAAAACAAGCAGACGGAAAAGAGAAGAAAAGAGACAGCACAGGTTAGCATACCTTCATTGCCAGTCCGTGGGTCTTGGGCTTTGGTGAACAGTAGTGTGATGGGAATTCTAAACAAAAATTCCCCCACTACCATGGTTCCTGTTGTGGTTTTCAATGTCAGATGCATATGAGGGAGCTGGAGAGAGGGTTCTCCATTTACACGCATGTATTGCTCTCTCTGAGGACCCCAGTTCGGTTCTCAGCACTCAAATAAGGCAGATTACAACATGTAAATCCAGCCCCTGGGGAATATGACACTTGTGATCTTTGTGGGCACCTGCCTGCACATACACATATGTATAATTAAAAGTAATGAAAGCCCACATATACATTAAGTCCCAGACATCTCACCTCTATGCAGGGAGGCAGGATCTCCACTGTGGGAGACTTTGTGTGTCTTGTCATTGTGCTTTCTGCCTAGCTTACTAGTGAAAAGGACCGAGGCCCTTTTCTGAGGTATCCACCCTTATGCATAGTTTTAAAAATCACCCCAAAATACAAATCTTTTAAGTAAGAAGAGGTTCACACAAGTACAGCTTGAGATTCTCATCCTAAACTGAAAATAGCAATGTCTGTCCAGGCTTTGTGGAAAAGATTTGACATGCTTTTCCATCCTATCCAAATGAATTCCCAACTAGAGAGATGTGTTGTTTGTAAATGTGCTGAGTTCTTTCAAATGAATATGCTTGCTGAGTTTCGCAGGGTGCAGCCAGTGATGACCTATTCATCATTCTTCTCCCAAAACACACGAAGATAGGAACAACTGAACTGGCTCCCCCAAATTATTCTCATAGGATCCATCTTTCTTTTCTGGTTTAGCCGTCACCTCACCAATTTCCAAACAGATACCACCAGAGTGGAAAAATTTGTGTGTGTGCATGTGTGTGTGTGTGCATGGATGGATTTTAGCTTTAGTTAGATGGGAAGCTAATTTTGTTCAATGTTTAAAATAATGAAATTTTGGTTCCTCACTGAAGTTGAATGGTGGTTAGGGTTTTCTACAAATGATTTCACCTGTGGTTTCAAAGATAGGACTTCTTTAAACATGTTTTCCCCAGGAAAACAAAACACTAAGAAAGTCTTTCAAAGAAGGATGAGAGGGATGAATGAAGGGACATAGATTAAGAGTGTGATCTCATTTTTCATACATGGAGATAGAGCTGAATCAATATCCTTGGGATACCTTGGTTGCTGTTCTACAGGAAGGGCTCGGCTTAGAGCACACCGAACTCTTCTCTGTGCTGTATGCTGCATTTGCAACCACTAGGTGGGCTACAGACTCGATGTCTGTGCAGAAGGAACAGCCACAGTGACTTTTGCCACCTAGATCAAACTGAGCTTCATAGAAAAAGGAGCGGTTGCTCAGATGCAATTGCTGGGATTTTGGGAGTTCTGCTTTGCATGTATTCAGAGAACTGCTTTATGTGTGTGTTACACAGGAGTGTTTTAAGGCAAGGAGATAGAAAATGGAAAAAAAGGGGGCCACAATCCTAACTTCTCAAATAATTCCTTTGTCATTTTTTTTTCTCAAAAAAAAAAAAAATGAATCCATATAATACAGAATTTTGAGAAGTTTGGAAAGTACTATATAGAAAGTAAGAATACTAATCAGAAAGCACAATTTTTCTCCTTCTGGGTTGGAGAGACAGATCAGAGGTTAAGAGCAATTGCTGCCCTTTCAGAGGACCTGGGCTCAATTTCTCTACTTGGAGGCTTACGAACATCTGTGACTCAGGTTCCAGGCCCTCTTCTGACCTCTCCAGACACAAGGCATACATGTGGGGTACAGGCATACCATGCAGGCAAAATACATACACAAAATACATACATACATACATACATACATACATACATACACAAAATAATAACATAAAACTCATTTACAGAGAATTTCCCTTGCTCCTGCTCCAGTCAGGTTTCACAAATGCAATCATTGTTACAAAATCGCAGTTTGCTTGAAACTCACACCTAATGGTCAACCAGACTATTGATGAAGTGCTAATGGGCCAGTCCAAGACTATCTGCTCATAGGACTGAAATTTTCCTTTGATAGAAACATTTCCCTTAGCTTAAAGCTAATAATGAACAAGGACATGTCTTCTGCATAGTTGCATCTTTATATCAGGGAATTTGGTAGCAAACATAGACAGGGAAGAGTAGTAGTCTTTTAGGAAGTCGAAAGCACACACATCTCTCCTTTCCTTTTTACATTTGGTACAGGGCCCACAAGCCAGGAGCAGAGCAACAAAACTGAAACTCACGATAAGAAGACAAGGGATCAGACTCTAAGTACCGATGCTGCCTCGAGCACAGGCCATTCGACTTCAGGATCCCATCCAAGAAGACGTAGAAGAAGGGTCAAAAATGAGTGGGGGATCATAGAAAAAAACCTTCTAAAATCCACTCAAGAGTATGACTGGGGCAGGAAAGCTGAGACCTTACCTAGTGAAGACTTGGCTGGTAGGGAGCACTCATTCTTGAAGCTTTACCTGGAGAAGCAAGGCACAGAGCAGATTGCAACTGCGGAAAGAAATACTCCTTGGGAGATGCCTTCAGATAAAAGGGATGTGAAGGGGAAAATGGCTGACAGAGGTGTTGAAGCCCAAAGAGCACTAGCGTCACAACCTACATATGTGGCAGAGTCCAGGGTTAGTGGTCTACCACCCAGCCATGAAGAAGGGTCTTTTGAAGGCAAGAGGAAAAAGGATAGAGCTGCTTTGTTGTCATGGACAAGAAGATCTTCTACAAGCCAAGAAGAGGCCGCTGTCTCCAGGACAGTGGGGGCCCAAGTACAAAAGCGCCCTTCTCAAGTCCATGGAGAAGAGAAAGAAACATTCAAACCTGGTTTGCAAAAGTTTCAACCTAGAATGGAGTTATCCTTGGAGAGCACATCATACCACAAAGAGAGAAATCCTAGAGGTGGTCTTCGGGTCTTTTCAGCAAGTGTTTCAAGTGCTACTACCCCCGACGAGATTTCTATGCATATGTCACCTCTTCCTCTCAGAAGATGGCCAAATACAGGGGCTATCTCCTCTGATTCAAAAAGTACTTCAGAGTATGAGAGTAGTTCTGAAATGCAGCTGGGTCCTTCACATTCCTTCCAGCTTGCATGGAACCCTCAGGATGATGATGATGATGTCTTCCTCAAATCAGAAAATGTAGATGCAAAAGTGAACAAGATGGGGCGGCAGCAGCCTGTTGGCTATTCCTCCAAGTCATTAGGAAAAACCAAAGCTAGGAAAGTCCTCTTAGACTCTGACAGCTCTTCAGAAGACCGGAGAAGCTGCGAGGAGATGACATCTGCCCAGTCCTCCCAGTCCTTAGAAGAGTATGAAGAATGCTCAGAATCAAGAAGTTTTATCATAGACTCTATCTCTGGAGAGCAGTTGGATCTTAGCAGCCATTCCCAGGCCTTGCAGGAGTCGGAGGAAAAGGAGGTCTCCACAGAATCAAGCAGTTCCTTGGGTAAGTTCCACAGTTCTGAGGATCTGAGCAGCTCAGAGGAAGAGCAGCCTCCTGAACCTTACAAGCAGGCCCAGGGTATGTCCAGAGACCAGCAAGACATGCCCCCAGTTTTGAAGAGTGTTCCAAAAGAATTGAGTGTTTCTGCTAAGCCAGTGTGCCCCATATACACTTCTCCACCCATTGTGAACCCTGTTACTCAGCAGCAACACCACCCCATTTCGATGAACATTGTAGGACAGAGCAGATCTGCGCAGCCACTGCAACCCAGCCACACTATCAAGTCATGGGGGAGCCCTCAGTCTGAACATAAAGTGTTTGTAGATCCAGAGGGCATTGCTGCTGACTGGGACATTTTTATGCAGCCACCATCTCCAAGAAAGGCTTCTAAGCACCCAGTGGGGTACAATATGGAGCAAAATGTCTCCCCAAGTCCAGATATTTCGACCATGGGAGAGGTGGCATCTATGGAGGCCTTGCTTCTCAGACACCATTCTCAACCTCCAATCAGACCAGTACTTGACCAACATGCTTGCGCAGGCCCAGAGATTGCTGCTTTTGAAGAGTGTATTGCTGGACAGCCTCCTAGATACCATTCCCAGTCCTCAATGAGACCAAGCAGGATGAAGGAAATACCATTGGGGGCAGAAAGTGCTGCATTTGAGGGAGGTCATTTTCTGGAGCCCCTGCCTCCTGTTTCTATGGAGTCCCTGCCTTCTCAGCATCATTCGCAGACCCTGTTGAAACCCTTCATTGAGCATCAAGCTTCTGCTTTTGAAAGAAGTGTTTCTATGGATCCAAGGCTTATGGCACACTCTTTTCAGCCATGGATAAAACCTCCTGGAAGGCAATCATTTTCAACTCCAGAGAGCACATCTTTTGAAGGGAGCCCTTCTATGGAGCATGTGCCTCCTACCCTTTCCCAGCCGATGCAGCATCCTTATCAAAATGAGCCTTTAGAATCAGAGGCTGTTGCTGCTAAGATCATTTCCATGAGCCCACTGCACACCCAATATTCGGCTCAGTCATTACTAAATCCTCAAAGTCAGCTGTTCTCAGAAAGCACCCCTGTACAAGGTACCAGTTTGGCAGAGCGAATGTCTCCCCAACCTTCAGTAAAGACCAAATTCCAGCCACAGATGACCAGAGAGCCAGCGAGCACTTCCACTCAATGGGGCAGCCCTATGGAGCCCATATCTTCTCAACATATCTTCCAAACACAGGCTAGTCCTAAATTTAAGAAAGTGCTTACAGGTACAGACAGCCCTGAGGCTCAAGATTGTATCTCTATGCAGCCAGGTTCTCCCAGATGCTCTCCCCAGCCATGGCTATCTGCTACCTTTGAGCAAATGTCTGTACCCCCTGGCAATGTTCCTGCTGCATGGGCCATTCCTGTTTATCCACCAGATCCCAGAATGCCTTCTCAGCCCTCAGTAGTCCAACAACCAGTCTCCGCAGGATCCATGAACACATCTGTACAACAGATTGCCAGCATAGAGCCAATGTCTCCTAGACACCCTTTGCAGCCATGGGCAGCTTCTCCATTTGAACAAGTCTCTGTTCCCTCAGACAATGATGCCACACCAGCATGGGACATTCCTATTGAATCACCAACTCCAAGAATGCTTTCTCAGCCCTTGATGGGATCAATTGTCCAACAACCAGTTTCCACTGAGTTAATAAATACTTCTGTGCCACAGAGCAGCACTGCGGAGCTAATGCCATCTAGATTCCCTTTCCAGGAAAGAGTAGATTCAGAGAGTTATGGAGCAGAGGAAGGAGTTTCTGTAATGATGAGGCCTGGAAGACATCGTTCCCAGACCCCAATAAGCACAGGATTCAAGGAAGATGTTTCCTCAGATTCAATGAGAGCTCCTGGAGAATGGGGCATTCCTATTGAGCCAATGCCTTCCAAATATGCTCCTCAGTCATGGTTGGGCCCTGAATTTGAACAACACACCTTAGGTCTAGAAGGTATTGCCCAAGGGGGGGACATTTCTACGGAGGCATGGCTTTCCAGAAATTCTTCCCAAACAATTGTCAAACCACAAGTTCAGAGAACACCCTCAGGTTTTGAGAGTACCTCTATGGAGGGAGGTATTCCTTGGAAGCCACTGCCTCCCAAAGCTCCCACCCCATTCTTAATGAGATCTAAAGTTCAGGAAATGTCCTCCCATTATGAGAGTGCTTTTGCTCAAGACATCACTAAGAAAGCCCGGGATAGCAGGGCTTCCTCCCAGTCAATTGTGAAGTTCATGGCTGAGAAAATCTTTTCAGATAATACTGCTAGTGAAACTGACATTTATGCAAAGCCCATGCTTCGGTCTCGAAGCCGTCCTTCCAGATCCTTGTTGAAGCCAAAACTTGAGGAGCAAACTTTCTTATATAACTGGGATGATGAGCCCAAGGAAGACAGCACTTTGAAGAATCTGCCCATGAAGCAACCTTTGCAGTCACTCGGACAGCCCGAAGAGCCAAAGGGAGGTCTGTCATATTGTGAAGGTGCCCCTGTGAAGTGGGGCATTGTGCCAGCAAATGTCTCTCAGCCCCTGGGAAAGCTTGATTACAGTCAAAAAGTGTCAACCTCAGCCAGTTTTCCCGAAGAGTGGAAGAGGTCTGAAGGACATCTGCCTTCCACACAGCCTTCTCAAGCCTTTGATATAGCTGAGTTGCAGCTACCGATTTTATCGACAGTGTCTGCAAATGTGGAGTGGAGCAATTCTGAGGAGCACGGGCCACCCAGTCAGCCTACTCAGAGTTTCTTGATCACCGACTATCAGCAACAAGCTTATTTAAGTTCTGCCAATGCGGCTGCTGAAGGAACCATTTCTCAGAAGAATATTGGCAGCTGGCCCAGGCACCAAAACCCAGATTCTCCAAAGAAATCCATGAAATACACACAATGCTATGGGGACTTCAATAAAAGCACCTCAACTTCTATTACCAAACCTAGCAAGTTCACTACTGTTCCTGCACAGAAAGCATTCATTTCTACAGGGGATTACTCTATGGAGGAAGTTCCTCAGAGTGGTGATGGAGATGAGAGTCCTATATCCACCAGCAAGAATGATGTCGAAAATGTTTTCGGCGTGAGACTTCGAAGAATCTCACAGAAGAGTGGGATGGAGAATCCAGATCCTCCCATGCCAGTTGTCCCAGCAAGCAAAGAATGGGTGAACAAAGACGCTTCCCAGGCCACCAGTGGAGGCCTAGAGAAGTTCAGCCAAACACTTACCTTTACAGAAAAGCAAGGTAACAAGTCCAGATATGAAGGCACTTTCAAGAAAGCAGCAGTTTACAAGCCTCCAGGTGAGAGTTTTGTCTCTCCAGGTGGAGGGAAGGCCTGTAAGGCAAAGCCTTGGATGGATGGGCTGTAAGCTCTCTAGCCTCCAGGCTTCCAACTGTACTTTTGCTTTGATAGAACCAGTTGTGGGTTTAGAGGTGGGATAGTGCCCCACCCTGGATGACTAGACTCAGAAAGAAATACTTTGCAGGCTCCCTTTTTCCAGGGAAGCAACAGTCAGGACATCTATCCACTTTACAATAATAGACACATGATCTCCACCTCTTCCTCTCCCCATCTACTTGATGTATAGCATTCTTTGGGCAAAATCCTATGTCTAAAAAATATAACACCTTTACATACACCATGTAACTTTAATCCGCCAAACAGATCTCTAAAGCACAGTTCATTAAGAGCAATATATTTTCACTCCAGCCCTGAAATCATCTTAATTTAATCTGGATCAAGGTGACCTGTTGAGTGCTACTCTTTTCTAAAGATGCTGTGCCTTCTGTATCATCCCTGCCTAGTCTTGTTTTTGCCTCTGATCACACCTATTTTGCCATGACACTTGCACAAGGGACAAAGAAGGAACAGACTCTGTAAGCTTTTTCTTAGAGTTAGAGGAATTATATCAATGGTCTGAGCCTCTGTATGCTCATTTTAATGAGCAGCTATTTAACTATTTAATCCTGCCTTCCCAGTTCATAGGAAGGGGATAAAAGAGAATGGCCCTTCTCTAAATGTTATCTAATTTTGTTTGGCAACAAGAAAGGATCCCATTTGGAACACTATTGTGGGCAACCTCAGCTACACTGAGGACCCTTTCTGCCTGGCTTCCGTTCTAATTGTTTCATTTCTCTTTCAGGCAAGACCTCCAGTTGGAACACAGATTGCACCACAGAACCAGCTTGGATCAATATGGCGAAACAGAGACAAAAGAACTTTGCATCCCAGTTTCCTAAAAAACAAAGTACCAGTACTGAAATCAGGACTGAGACAAATGAACCAACATATGAGTCAACATATGATCCAGACTTGGAAAGTCCACCAAAGGTTAGCAGGACCACTGCCTAAGCTTGCACTGGGAATTATGTCAGACATGCAGTGAATCTCTTATTGGGAGCATTAATCAAAGACCATTCTTCTTCAAGGGTCTTTATTTTGTACTAACACAAATGTGCTGTTCTTACAGCTTTTACAAAAAGTAGTAGATATGAAGAGAGTCTATAAATCAAACCTTACCCTAAATATTCTAAAGAAGGATTCCATGAAAAGGTTGCATAAAAAGAAGTAGATACAACAGCCGTGTAACTACAAACAACAATAAGAAAACAGAGATAACCAATAGAGTAAAAACTGAGCGACTATATGTTATGTCTTTAAGCACAGACATATGATTTTAATAAATGGGAATCAAACTATGAACATGGTAGTCCTCTTTAACCACAAACTATAAAAATGGTAGTTCCTTCTGTACATAGTAAAGAGAATGCCCTTTTCATTTTAACTCATTACTTATATCTTGTGACTGTTAACTTTAAAAACATGAGCTCAAAGCTAGCATACCTCTCAATTTCAAAATTAGATTTGTTTTTACTATAGGTTTCAGCAACCTCAACCTATGATGTTTCTAACTTTTTTTAGTATGTCCAGGATTTTTACTTATTCATGTAATGGAGGCACTTTAGAGCTTCTCTTTCTTGAACCTGGATGGTCAGCATCACTATTCTTCCACTTTGGGGCTATTGCTGTGTTAAAATAAGGGTGACATGGACACAGACACTGTGATGATACCATCCGAGGGCATCGGACATTCACTACAGCTAAGTAAAAGGCAGGAAACCTGAGTATATAGTGTGGGATGCTGGACTAAGGGAAAATTCACAGTCAGCCAGGCAGGGATAGGAAGGGACAAAGATTCTGTGTTGCTAGAAATGGCATTCAGTGTAAAGTTTATCAGCTGCTTATTTATGAAAAATTTGACTATTTTTGGACTGTGATTGAGCATGTATAATTAAAATTGGCAAGTAAAACCTTAGGAAAAGGGTGGCTCGTTTTCATCTAATGTTTCATTATGCACATTATTAATTACTCTTTATTTTTATGTATTTCATTTTTCTTTACATATCAGTACTTAAATATGTATGTTTAGGTGTTGATGTTTGCATTTCTAAATACTGATTTGGTTGTATTTCACACCTTCCTGTAGATTTTAAAATGTTCCAGGATGGACTAGACACAAGGACCAGGATGATGGAATGATTCCTTGTCTTTTTAGAAAATCTGCAGAAAATGAATCCCAAAAAGCATATCACATTTACATATCAAAAGCTAAATCTGAGATCTCATACTTTCAAATGCTTGGTAAATTTACTAAGGGAATGTATCCTCACATCAGTCTGTTTACACTATTTGCATAGCTAGATAGCTTTTCTTCTTGGTCTGAAAGAAACTGAGCCAGTTTGGGTTTTGTCAATAATCTAAGTTCTGGGACTGGAGAGATTACTCAGTGGTTATGAGCATTTAATGTTCTTGCAGAGGACATGGGTTCAGTTCCCAGGACCCCCATAGTGGCTCAATACTATCTGTAACTCCAGTTCCAGGGATGCAATACTCTCTTCTGGCCTCAGGGGTAATGTTTGTGGTGCACACACATATATGCAGCAAAACATTTGAACACACAAAATAAAAAAAAATACATCATTAAATAATACATTTTCCAAATTAATCATTAAATATGTATGTATGTGTGTATGTATGTATTCCAAGCCCGAGGAACTTTGTGCTATCTTTTGTTATTGATCTGTATAATCAATTTCTATAATTATATATTTCTATCTAGATGTATACTTTTGCATCAATATCTATATTCTCTATCTCTTTTCTTCTGATTGTTGTTGAACTCAGTACCCAGGACAGGGCTTGTACCATGCAGTCTTCTAAGTAGTTTTGTTTTCATGTTGGTATTACAGGAATCGGAACCCATAACTGATGTCCTGTCAAGAATGACTTTGTCTTCCACTATTGCCAAACAGGAGATGTCAAGGCTGTATAAGTCTACAAAATCAGGTGATCCCAGTGTATAGTTAGAATAGAGGACCACTGGTTTAGTCGAAGCCATTGACATATTCAGCAAGAGAATAGGACGAGGGAGGGAGTGGAGTTGGGAAACAGAGAATAGTCTGTTTGGTCACAGTAGTTGGCAGAGCATTATTTCCCTGGCTTTTATTAGATAGGCCTATTGAGTCATCAGTCATTTAATTTCACAATTCTGACTGGTGAGAACAGATCTTGAATTTTTAGAAAAAGTAATAGGTATAATATGCTTCCCTTTGGGTGTGAGTTTAAAAGAAGAAGATAGTCAAATAATAAAAGTCAAAATATTTCCTCCTACACGGTAAAAATCCTGTCACATTCCTTCCCATGGCTAGGATCCTATAGCCATTTCCAAGTTGATGCTGCCCCCAGGCATACATACCTACTGTATTGTTTGCTCAAGCTCTGATATTTTGAGGTCTGACTTCTAAGAGAGCAGTGGTTGGAAAGTACTAAGAATTAACCTGAAAGGATGCCCCATTGCATTTCATCTTTAAACACCTTCTAGTGTCTCTGGTATTTCTGACTGTGTGTTGTTTGCTGTGATTCCAGGTACATTTGATGATCAGAACACACTTCATCCATCTGGCAAGGAGAGAGAAACCAGACGTTCTTCAATTCTGCCACCCAAAATCCTACCGCCTGAGGAGCCTGTGTGGTTCTCAATGGCCAAGAAGAAGGCCCAAGCATGGAGCCAAATAGCAGACAGCATGCAATAAATAGCTCCTGGTTAAAGCACAGCATTTTTAGCAATAATTGCCAGTAGCTATGGTAATTCCATATAACATTTTTTACTAGGGGTAGTTTTATTATGGAAAATAACTTTAGAAATGGGTATTACATTTCTTAATTATTTGAGTGATATAAATGCTACTAATATATAACCCTCAGTAAGTCACTACCAATATCCCAGCATCTTCTTCAGAAAAAGTTATGCTATAGAATTGCAAAATCATTAACTTTAGACATTGTGCCTTTAGAAGAAAGAAAACAACCATATGTTACTTCAGCAACTTAAAGATTGCCATTTCTTTCAATCAAAAAATTTTAATGGAAAGATTGAGGTGAGGTGATTTTGCCCAAGGAGTGGATGTACTTTCACCCAAGAAGATGACAAGTTCACTAGTTAAACTGTGTCTGGGTCCTCGAGAGTGTCCTTCCTCTTTGGCTCTAGGCTTAAGGCAAAGAACTCTGTGCAACTTGGTGTCTTAGTTACTTGTCCTGTTGCTACAATAAATTCTCTGATAAGGTCAACCTAATGGATAAAGGGCTTATTTTGGCTTAGAGTTCGAGTGTATGGTTCATCATAGCAGGGAATTCCTGGTAGTAGGAACTTGAAGAAGTTGGTAACATTGCTTTTCTAGTCAAGAAATGGAACTAATGATTTAATGTGTAGAACTCATTTTCTCCCGTGTATGTGTGTGTGTGTGTGTGTGTGTGTGTGTGTGTGTGTGTGTGCATGCATACATGCATACATATATTCCAGGATCCAAGCCTAAGGACTGGTGGGTGTCACCTATGACAGGCAGGTTTTTCCCACCTAATTAAACTTTCCATTTTCAAATTCTCCACATTTATCTCTCAAATCTAGCAAACATTATGAGATACATTTAGATGCCTTAACAACCTTGCTCCTTTTCCTAGATCCAAAGGACATCTACTTCTGTCACATTGTGCTTGCTTTGCTTAAACAGATATACAGCCATGAACAACTATTGGATGCTTTTCCATTCAAACCAAGTCTAGTAAGGCAATGAGATTCTATAGCTAACTTAAATAACTGGTGCTGGGTTTTGCTGATGATAGTATAAAGGCGTGCTGTACAACAACATGATGGATTTTTTCATTCAATCTATACAACATCTCCTTATTTTGATTCTCTAGTTTTGCACTTTTGATAATGTTAAGTTTTTGATTGACTGGATTTCATTACATTTATATTCGCATAGTGAATAGTTTGCTTAAACCAATGCCCTTAACATAGGTACTCTCCCCCCTTTTTTTGCCTATGCCTTCATGAGATAGTTCTCACTATGAGGACTCCCCATTAATGGTATCTCTCCCATTACTAACAAATCTCTGTTCTTAATTATAAGCATACTTTTTTTCAGTGCCTAGAAATGCATTATTACAAATTTACTTGTTTCTTTAAGATTCCTTGTTTGTTTGTTTGTTTGTTTTTGATTAGTGCAAAGCAAATAAATTCAATAAAACTTGTTCTGTAGTTCATTTCTCTCTAGGGAATAAGGGAGGAAGGGAAATGGAACATTGACAACTCAGACTGAAGATTGCCAGTGGAACAAATTGTTTTAAGAGGTTACCTTCTATAGAAGTAATCTCCATACTGATGTGGTTGACCAAGCTAATGGCTTCCAAGTGAGCCTTGGTGGGGCAGGAGTAGGGATGCAGCACATGGTAGCTATAAACCAGCCAGCTTGAAGACTGCATCTAAATCTTACAAAAAGGCTTCTAGCTAGGAATAAAGGAGGACCCTAAGAGTGACATGCAAGGACTCCCCCAAGAGGAGGAAAGGGACAAGATCTCTTGAGTAAATTGGGAGCATGGGGGGAAGTGGAGGGAATTAGGAGAAAGAAGAGGGGAGAAGGGGAGGGGGAGGAGAATATGAGGGATCAGGAAGGTCCAGTTTGGGGAAAGAACAGAGAAGGAGAGCAAGGGAAGAGATACCTTAATAGAGTGAGTCCTTATGGGCTTAACAAGAAACCTGGCACTAGGGAAATTTCCAGGGATTCACAAGGATGACCCCAGCTAAGAATCTAAGCAATAGTGGAGAGGCTACTTTAAATGCCCTTCACTGATAATGAGATTGATGACTACTTTAAATGCTATCCTAGAGCCTTCATCCAGTAGCTGATGGAAGTAGAAACAGAGATTCACAAGTAAGCACTGAGCAGAACTCCTGGAATCCAGTTGCAGAGAGGGAGGAGTGATGAGCAAAGGGGTCAAGACCATGCTGGGGGAAACCCACAGAAACAGCTGACCTGAGCAAGTGGGAGCTCCAGACTGACAGCTGGGAAACCTGCATGAGACTGAACCAGGATGCCTGAATATGGGTGACAGTTGGGGGATCAGGACAGTCTATGGAGCCTCTGGCAGCGAAACCAGTATTTATCCCTAATGTATGAATATGAATGGGCTTTGGGAGCTCATTCCCTATGGAGGGATACTCTCTCAGCCTAGACACATGGGGGAGGGTCAGGTCCTGCCCTAAATGATGTGAGGGACTTTGATGATCCCCTTGGGAGTCTCACCCTCTCTCAGGTGTAGATGGAGAGATGGTGGGGAGAATGGGAGGACGGAAGGGAGAGGGAACTGGGATTGGTATGTAAAATAAGATTGTTTTCACTTAAATAAAATTTAATTTTAAAAAGATAGGCTTCTAAACTAGCCATTTTCAAATTCATGAAGCCCCTGGGCTCATGCAGAACTGCATGGTACACAGTAAAGGAGGAAAAGGAGTTATAACATCAACTATTTATTTTGTCTGACTAGTTAGACAATTAGCTGGGTTTCAGAACAGGAGCTCAGCTGGAGAAATCCACATTTAAATCAACCAACAAAACATGTGTTATATAATGGTTTATCTTTTTTCATATAGATTAATAATGACCAGAGACACTAAAATGGATTTTAGAACATCCAAACTACTAAAGACCTAACCAATAATGTGGCCCTTGTTTCCCACTCCTATTCCTCCTCTAGACCCTGGCCTATCTCCTAGACCAACCCCAGGTTCTATTCTAGCTATGCAACTGTACTTAGCTCTGGGAGTACATTCCCTAGTAGGATAGTCAGATTTACCAAGGATGGCCCATCCCAAGAGCAGAGTACAGCCTCACATTGCTGAGGCAGTTGCAAGACTACTTTTCATTGGCATCTGGCTGTCAGAATGCACACCAACTTGTCCTGCCAGCCAGCTGTCAGATTCAACAACTTCATGGGGATGCTCACTAGACTCCAGTAGGATGCATTCCAGGGATGAATGGTTCAAGTCTGCCCACTGTGGGAAGATGCAGGCCTTTGTTTTATTAAACAACATGACACCAGGCGGTAGTGGCACATGCCTTTAATCCCAGCACTTGGGAGGCAGAGGCAGGTGGATCTCTGAGTTCGAGGCCAGTCTGGTCTACAAAGCTACACAGAGAAACCTTGTCTCGACCCCCCCACAAACAAACAAACAAAAAAGACAAAACAAAACCCCAACATGACACGTACATATGTTACCCAGCCACATACTTGCCTGAAAAGGAGGGAAAGTTCCTACATGATTTCAGAGAAATTATAAGAGAAATTTTTTCCTTATGACCACACTTAAAGGATGAACCAATCCCCAATTCAGGTATGGAAGTTTTTCCTGATGGGAGCTGGAACCTACAAAAGGGGATAGACTCTCACCTCAAGATACGCAACATGGAGGAGGTTTCCCATTTCTCATCTGTCTTGGAGTGGCATGGGTGGGGGAAAGATGCCCTTCTCCCCCCCCCATCAATGCCTAAGGCAGGTACAGCGTCCCTGCTCACCACCACCAGCTGCAGCACTCAGGAGAGAAGGCTCTGCAACTTGCCTGAGCAACACAATAGAGCTAAACATGTTGGCTGAGATGTGAGCGAGTCTGCCCCGAAGTAGTGAGCCTAGGAGAACTGTCCTCATCACTCATTTGTCTTGGGGCAGCATGGACTGGGGAGAGTTGCCCCCCCCGTCAATGCCTGGTGTGGGTGGGAGAACCGGCCCTGAGGTCACAGGGGCTGGAGAGCTGTCCCTGACCCCCCACCAGATGAAACATTAGGGGGAGCAGGCCCTGCACTTCACTTGGACAGTACAGTAGAACCAGCCCTGTCGGTGGAGGTGTGGATGAGCCAGTCCAGAAGCTATAAGTATGCCAAAGCTATCCCTATTTCTCGTCTGGCATGCAGCGGTGTGGGTGGGGGAGAGATGCCCCTCTTACCTCTTGCCCCTTACTGCCTGCAAAGATGAGGGTGCTGACCCTATCCCTTATCAGCTGCAATGCTCAGGAAAGTAGGCCCTGCTCCTTGCCTAGGCAGCATAGCAGAGCTGAGGTGTGGATGTCGTGGGTGGAAGAGAGATGATCCCCCCATGACACCTGGGACAGGCGGAGATGCTGGCCCTAGGGTTATGGGAGCCTGGAGGGCTGTCTCTGCGCCTCTCAGCTACAGCACTAGGGAGACTGGTCCCTGCACCTCACCTGGGCAGCACAATAGAGCTGGCCCTGGTGGCGTGGGTGTGGGTGAGCCTTCCTGAGGGCATGAGAGCAGGGTGAACCACCCCCTCCCCTTGCTGTTTGCTGCATAAGGTAAGCTGTCAGGGGCAGTGCTGGAGAGCTCACCCAGTGTTGAGTATGAGAGGGAGCTGCTGGGCTGACCAACCAAACAACCCCCCAGGCCCAGAACCAGGGCTATGAATTGGCTTACCCCACCATCCACCCCATGTATGATCTGCTGGAGCACGTGAAGGGGCCAATCCTGCAGACCAAAAGCTGCAGGACCTCCACCACATAGCACAACAACAGGATAACCAAGAAGAGTCCCAGTGAGAGGCCAGCATCAATAGTGTAGCAGAAACCAGAGGCCTTGAACCACACCAATGACTCTTTGCAGTGAACAATCCATATGAAGATGTATGAACAAGTGGTTCACTGCATGACCTACTGTGTGTCACACTGTAGCTTCCATGGTGAGATTTTATTTTTTTTTTCTTTTTTCTCTTAAGTTTTGTTTACTGGGTGGGGTGGGGGGGAGCGGTGTTGCCAGGTCAGAGAGTGGATGTGAAGGGATGAGGAAAGGAATGGGATCATGATG